AGTTACGTGACAATAATGTTTTCCTTTCATTGTACACATGTGCACTTACATTAAAAATACTTAATAATAGTGTTTTCTTCGACCCTCGAACATGAATTCACTAGGTGGTTGTACGATATATAGTGACAAGGAAAGTGACAAAGAATTTGGCTCATCTTGGGCTACCTGCGCACAGTCACCATTCATACATAAATTTTTACAAAGAATACTAAAAGAATTAATAATAACTATCTACTATAATTAACTAACTGTATAATTATGTAAATCATTTTCTGTCACAATATTCCCTAACAATACATATGTCCAAAAGACATCCAGACAATATCCAGAAGATGTAAAACATCTATGTCTCATCCAACCTCATATTCATGTTTTACATCCTCTGGATGTCCTCTGGACACTTTTTGGATATGTGTGTTGTTAGAGTCGAAAAGCTGTCCAAATTCTCGTCATTGAATAAAATTAAGTAAATCTCCGATTAAGATTCTTATATTCCACTATGCGATGTATAATGTTGCTTTTATTTAATCTGCTTATTGTTAATACAATCTGATGATATACAGGATGTCCTAAAATTACCGTACTTTCTCTTAATGGCAGATTCCTTAGAACATTTCAAGACGAAAATCCTAATACAAAAATATCGAGGCTATAATAGTTTTTAAACGAGAAGCGATTATATTTTACAAATGGCAGGACTGAGATTTCGCGCGCTCAGGCACGGCGAAATAGTAGATACCTTCATGGTAACATTGATCGACCACGTTGAAATTGAAACTTGGCTTTACTTGAATCATTTTTTAGATGCCTTTAGTTCTTGCATCCATTATTCGTAAGAAGAATGTACTATAATGCAATGCGTAGAGAAGCGGGAAAACATATAATGATAATGCTATTGTAAATTTCTACGATAATCATAATATCATAAAAAAAGCGTTTCATTCATAGAAACACTTTTTTCACTTGTCATTTCGTGGTGTCTGAGCGCGCAAAATTTCAGCCCTGTCATTCGTAAAATATAATCGCTTTCCGTTTAGAAACTATTATAGCCTCGAGAGATATTTTTGTATTAAGATTTTCATCTTGAAATGTTCTAAGAGATCTGCCATTAAGAGAAAGTACGGTAGTTGTAGGACATCCTGTATATATACAACATCTGACTTAATCTCGCAATAGAAGGTATTATGCAAAACTGCTGCATTTTTCAGATCAATCATTAAATGGGTTAAAGACAGTATAGGTAAATGTTCGGATTAACTTATACATCACGGATCGTTTTCATTTTTACATATATTGTAGAGGGTACATTCTTAAGTAATACACGTTTTGAATTTTGTGGTGCTCTCTTCTGGTTCATAAAATCAACTATAAAATCTATCATCAAGATCAAGTTTGGGGCTAAATCTCATTTTTTTAAATGTTATTTTTACAATACTTCAAAATCGCATATCTCTGGAACTAGAAGAGAGCGCTACAAAATTTAAAGCGTGTATTACTTAGGAATGTACTTTCTACAATATATGTAAAAATGAAAATAATCCGTGATGTGTAAGTTAATCCGAACGGTATATTTCAAACACGATTAAAAAATCTGAGATTTTTAAGTTGCCATTAATATCCACTATGTATATCAAATCTTTGTGATTAATCGTGAATAATTAGTTCTCTCAAATCATTTAATTGATTCCTCATCTTGCAGATAATATAATATCTTCTCTCTCTTTCCATCTACGATAAATACATGAAATACTTTTAAATCAAGATTTTATAGTTTGTTGATCATTCAAAGAAAAAAAATCGATTTTGATACTATTCAATATATCCACAAAAAAATCAATTTGCAACTTTTGAAAAAAAGATAGAAAAAATTGAGCAGATTTTCGAAGATTTTTCAAATGTAATTTTTAATTATCAAATAGAAGTGAACTTAATAATTAAAGACATTTTGCAAATATAGATAACAAAATCAGTACATTTCCTAAATCAATATATTATAAGATCCTTAAACTGAAAGGCAAGGTTTTTGATCAATGCGCTTATAAAATTTTTAATTTTTCACTGATACTTTACAATTTGAAGTATGATTTATATATATGTATATATAAAAATGAGCCAAGTCCTTTAAACATAGACAATATTAAGCAATAATACTAAATGAATCGTTTGCGAGTAATTATAACAACGATAGCAATTTTAATGATGATGATAATAATAATGATGATGATGATGATGATGATGATAATAATAATAATAATAATAATAATAATAATAATAGTAATAGTGACAGTATAATAGTGTGACAGTAAATATTAACAATAAGAATAATCATCAAAATACTTGCGAAAATAATCGTAGCTATGTATTGCACATGGATCACAGAATAGAGACAGTCGTTAGATATTAGAGAAATAATCTATAAATACTATAAATAGCGCTAATTTTTTGCATTAATAATTATTATATTGTGTGTGTGTATACATACACGTATCTATTAATATATTTTACAATTTTATAGATCATTTTGCGATGTGTGAATATGTGTGTACATATGTATGCGTGCACACATACATACACATCTCATGTATATATATATATATATATATATATATATATATACAGGGTGTCTCACAACCTCCGTACAATACTTTAGTAGTGTATTCTAGAGATAAAATAGAGTCAACAATTCTAATACAAAAATTTTGAGGCTGCAATAGTTTTTGAGTTATAAGCGATCATTGTTTGTCAATGATATCGCGCAGAGCTCGCGCGCTCAAATCCGTAACTACACATACATGCGATACCGATCTGTCATCTGTTATTGATTTTACAAATCAGGTAATATTGATTTTTACTGCACAGCTGATTTTATTGTTTCTCATGTATGTGAATACCACATACGGCGGTCAGCTGATACTAACGAACTATATATGTTGTATGTAAAATATTTAATTTTTTCTTAAATAAGAATTTAAATAATTGATTAATTATTATATTTAAATAGAAATATAAACTTAATATTTTCACACATTTAAGAAACGAAGTTTATTTTTGTTTTGATCGCGCGGAGAAGTTTTGTGGAAATCAATTTATTTATTTTATCTGTCAGCAATAACAGATGACAAATCAGTACATGTGTTATGGTGCGGTTCAATGGACTAATATATTCCGCGTAACGCGTATCGCGTAACCAATCAGAAGCGTTCCGCGTTTTCTGTTACGTGAAATTGAATGTCCTTAGTACACATGGTACATAAAACGACAGCAGCGTATCACGTTTAACCAATGATATTTTTCTATTCTGTTAAAACATTCCAATAGAAATGCTAAATATTATAGTTGATTGGTTACGCGAATATTTGTTACGCAAATTTTGCGCCCATGTGAACGATGAGATTTGAATATCACGTAAATGCACACAAATATGTTTGAATGTCCATAACTTGACTTAACAGTAAATAAAGCGTAACTTAAAATGAATTCAGAGTTATTAATATCTATTATATTGCTCTACAAAAGCAAACAATAAATAAGACGCAAACAATAAATAAAACAGATAGAATGTCAATAATAAAATTAAAAAAGTTAGTTACTCTTTTCTTATTGCGCAAAGAAAACGAGCGAAATAAAATAATAAAACGAAAATATTGGGTTCGTTTTTTTCAAACGGAAAGCGGGAACAATATGAAGCAAGTACAACTCTTATAAAAGAATTGTATTTTCATAATGATGAAAAATTCATCAATTATTTCCGCATGAATGTGGAAACATATGAAAAATTGTTAAATATCGTCAAGCCATAACAAAGCAAAAGTATCATCGAAACCCAATACCGCCAAATACACGTCTGGAAATATCATATGTCTTCGTTATTTAGCTATAAGAGACAGTATGAAATCTCTTTCCTATGCGTTTCGCATAGAGACTAGTACCATTTCAAAAATTGTGTTAGAAACTTGTAAAGCAATTTGGACTACATTACAAGATACCGCTGAATACCACATTCACACAAAAGTCGCGTAAACTCGCGTAATACGCAACTTTTTAAAACGGGCGTAACAGAAAACGCGGAACGCCTCTCATTGGTTACGCGATACGCGTTATGCGGAAAATATTCCATGGGACCGCACCCTAAATGTAGTTACGAGCCTAAGAGCGCGAATTTTACGCAATATTATTGGCAAACTTTGATCACTTATAACTCAAAAACTATTGTAGCCTCAATATTTTTATATTAAGATTTTTTACTCCATTTTCCTCTAGAATATACTATTAAAATATTGTAAGAAGGTTGTGAGACACCCTGTATATAGTATTTATTGCGAGCACATATATATGTAGTATATAATACTCAATAAAATTAAATCTATTAGGTACTATAAATATGATAGCGCAGGCACTAAATTACTGAGATATAATCGTGCTGTAACTATTAGTCTGTCGTTCATATATTCTTATATATGATTATATTACGCACGGACATTACAAGCTTTCGATAGAAATCTTGCGATTAATAAGATATTCGTATAAAATTGCGTGTTTAAACTTGTATATAATTGCGTGTATAATCGTAATGCTTTTGGTCGCTCTATAAAAAAAATTGTGGTTTCGTATGTCAGATATCTGATAGAAATCAAACATGTTTCTTTTGGACGTGATAAACGCACATACGCTCGTACGTTGTTGTGTGTATAATATATATTACTATTTCTAACAAAGTAATGTAAAAAGCATGTTTAGAGTGATATGTTTTAAACGTAAAATCAGAAATAAAATGTGTTATAAAGAAGAAAGGATTCGAATTATAAAAGAGAAAAGTGCTAATAAAAAACAAAACTCTTATAGGTATATTAGCAATATATTCCTACAATCCTAAAATATATCTTAGAACTTTGCGTGTATTATATGCATCTTCTCTTTGGAGATTACTACAAACTACATCCATGCTGCTAAAGAATCATCTCTCAATTAATCAATTTTTAATTCTTTAAATTTCTTTTTTCTTACTTCATTTTATCACTAACGACGAAAAAACTATGAATAATTTCAATCCGTTATATAGTTCTGTGTTACGATAATCATTGCCGATGTTATATATCAGCATTGAATTCGATATACACGTTTACGTGTTTAATAAGTTGAATTTATTTTTAATATCTACCCAATATAATATACCCCCCATGAGCATTGAGTCCAAATTCTGATCGCGTATTTAATTATTTTCGAATTCAATATTAACTCGGCAAGAATATAAAAGAGATAATTTTTTATGATATAAATATTGATTCTAAATAAGTGCCAATAAAGTATTGTAATGACATACGTGAGATCAAAATTTTTTATGATGTAAATATTGATTCTAAATAAGTGCCAATAAAGTATTGTAATGACATACGTGAGATCAAAATTTTTTATGATGTAAATATTGATTCTAAATAAGTGCCAATAAAGTATTGTAATGACATACGTGAAATCAACAAGAGAAAAATATAGAAGTATAATATATTATATGGTCGTTTTTTCTTCGCCACATCATCATTCGTTAAATTCAATAAACATAAATGCATATGATGCCTAATGTGAATGTTCGTCATTACAGGCGTCGCAAAATATACAGCTATCAACTTTCCGAAAAAAAAGAAAAAAATTTAATTTAAATAAACTTTCTAAAATAAAAAAAATTCTCAAGCTTTCTTAAAATTTTCTAAATCCTGTAATTTTTTAAATTTGTCTTTATTACTACATATTAGTGTGTATACCTATATATTTAAAATAAAAAAGAGAATTTTTCAAATTTCAGAATTCTTAAAAAATATTTTCCCTTTGTTAATATATTTAATATAAATATTATAAAATAAACTTTCCAAAAACAGAAAAAGAAAGAAAAGAGCTTTTATATTTTAATATATCTTTAAGAACAGATTCATTAGAGCTTATCTCTTCTTTAAATGAGAAATTTGTGCTTGAAAAGAAATATATACTCACGTTTTGATTACATATTATTAACGCGATTATCATTCGTCTTTACAATTATGTGGCTTTTAATATTTATCAGATGTGTTTAATTATAAGATTATATAGTTATATATAAAGGTTATTAAGATATTCCATCAGCCTATATATAAATTTCCCTCAAAAACCCATAATGTATTGCGAATGGCGCGGAGGCGCGGTAGCCAATAATATATATCCATTTTGCTTAACATTCTTCTGCTGTCGATTGTGCGATTGCGTACTCTGCATAGCATTATGGATAATTGACGAAGAATGCCCAAACCTTCTCTTATATATAATCTTATGTTTAATTACTACCATGTGGCACCATCTTAATAAATCTGGCAACGTGTCTCGCTTTAATTTCGCACTTTCGAAAGAGAGAGAGAGAGAGAGAGAGAGAGAGAGAGAGAGAGAGAGAGAAAGAGAGAGAGAGAGAGAGAGAGAAAGAGAGAGAGAGAAAGAGAGAGAGATGCCACTTGAAACACTCTTCTCTGGTCCCGTTCGCATTGGCTTATCGCGAACAAATCGAGTCGTATCGCTTTCGATGTAAAGGATTAATAAACATTAATCCCATCGCGTCTTTCCGCATCCCGATGGTGCAACATTACACCGAAAAAACTTTCAGAGAAAAGGCTTGCGCGTTTGATCGCCCCGATCATCGTTTCGACATTGAAATTTTTTCGACTATCTTCATCTCTATTGATTTTAAATATAATCTATATTGTGAATCCGATCAGTATTAATCAAGAAAACTACCCATGCAGCAATAGTGCCGCAATTGTTCTATGCTATATGGGTATCATTGTGTCAAGTTTGTTTTTATATTTCTCTTAATAGTAACTACTGCATGAATCAATAATTTACAATTGCAGTTGCTATTTTCCATTATGATTTTCTTTACATTAATGTATAGATGTTTCCTCTCTATACTTCTCATGAAATATTCCGCAAGCGTGTATTGTATGTTCTTAATGTATCGATGATGATACCAAATATTATTTATTACGTAATCCTCATTAAACAGAATAATCAAATGCGGTGCTAAAACCGCTTGGTCCGAGAAATGTGTTCACGTTACACAATCATATTGGCGCGCGTTTTGATTGAAAATTGAAACATTAGCATGAAGCAAATCGATGGAAAACTAATGTATATTAATAGTTAAACAAGTAATAAAATTACATCGTCATCATACAAATTGATATGACAATTCCCATACAGCGCAGAATATTGCAGCAACATTGCGGTAACGTTGCAATGTTGCTGCAATGTTCTGTGCTGTGCTGTATGGGTATGCTGTACAGGTTTTCATGTCTTTCAAGTTTAAATAATGCTACTGCATCGCGATTAGTTATTTTATTAATAACGTTCTTCTAAATAATATGTCTCTCTCTTCTGAAATATCTTCTAGGATACTTCGCAACTCAAATATATTGAATGTATGTGTTAATACGCGTATTAACTAGCGTATTATCGCTTTCATTACCGCAAATAATTTTATACATACATTGTATATATATATATATATATATATATAATATGTATACTTGAAACGGCTTATTTTAATATCTCACCAAGTTAATATCAATAATTAATTCAAATTTGGATGCCCTTATGATAATTCGATCGCTGCTAATCTATTAAAATGGTTTCTACTCGCATTTGCTATTATTAAAATAGCATAATAGGCTTTCGAGTAATTCGTATTACTCATAATTTATATCATTTTATAAAGCGCTGTTTTTTTTAAATGATTTCTTTATAATATCTATTAAGATAATGCAAAAAATTAATCCAAAATTAATATTCTGATAATGTGATAATCATCATTTAATTATGTTTCATTAGATATGAAAATGTCAAATTGTCAAAAAAGAGGCATGTTAAAAGGATCTTTTGTAACATAACTAAATGATTATTTTGTTATTATTAAAAGAGTGCAATAAGATCTGCGAATTATGGTTAATTTATGGCTCGATCTCATCGAGATTTCGATACTTGACTCGTCAGCGTTGCGATTTATCTAAGCAAAGTAATTCTCGATGATATTTGAACTAGTAAACACAAAATTTTCATTTTTTAATAATTTAATGAAAACGAATCAACAGAACCAATTATTCGTGAATTGAAGATATATAGAGACAGCAACCTTCATGTAGCGCCGTATATTGGCTATGCAAGACTAGTAATAAATGGGATTGTCGATCGGACCATTTGTTGCGGCGGAAAGACGATTTATTTTGCCTTTACGTCGAAGATCTCGACGGTGACGTTTTCTAGAACGGAGTCAGTGACGTTGTTCGTATGATTCGGCGATTTGTTAGATTTCATCGAAGTAGCCGAAGCGTTCCCACTGCTGGTGGGACTCCCACGACGAGGAGATCCTGCGTGTGACCCTGGCGACAGAGATTTTCTTGCTAAAGTATCGCGTGCTTTCGCATGAAAGCGTGGCAGCACGACACGAAAAGCCAGAATTACTTTAAGCATGAGGACCTGCGCGAAAGAAACGTATTAGTCAGAGCAAAATAGTCATAATGTAGGATGAAGTTGCGCGCGCGTGTGTGTCTGTGTAATGATATGTGCTATATACTTCTTTTTCTGACAAGAAAAATTTAATAACCTTAACTCAAAAGATGAGAAAAATATTTGATTAAAAGAACATAGAGTAACTATATCAATTAGGGATGCCGTCCCCAATAATCGTGATTTTGACAAATTTTGTCAAAATCATGGCCTAGAGTAATATTTGATAGATTTTAGCTGTTGCTCGTTGTTTATTACAAAGTTATTAACAAATAAAAATACGTAAAGTAAGATTTGAATAAGCAAAATGCTAACAATCTGTCGAGAGATTATCAGCAGATTTAGCCAAAATATTACGGCAGATTAGCATCAACTGCGTCTTTGTGTTTTGCTGATAGATTCTATACAGAATATTGCCACAATATTGCTGCAATGTTCTGTGATATATTAGATCCCTCGAATAGAATCTGACAGCAGATTGGTGGCAGAAATCGAGCAGGATCTTCTAACTATTTAAATAGAATACCCAGCAAACACAGATACATAACTGTAACATTGCCATAATAAAACGGAATGTAACAAGTAATATAACGTATTTGTTACATGTAACATTCACGTTAGTTGTAATTTCCCACTCATACAAAATTGCAGTTATATAACATGAATATCGTAAATCGGTATTTATGAAAACTCTTAATATATTTACTTTAATAAATACAGTTACAACGACTAAAATCTTTTAGAGGTTACTCTGGATCATGATTTTGACAATATATATGTCAAATTGTTATAATTGTCATAATTGTTATTTAATTTTATCTATAAAAAATTATAAACATTTTGTTGTGCAAATACAAACAATGAAATTTTACTATAGCAAACAACTATATTCATGTGCTTCAATAACCTATATTCAGAAGAAACTTTGTCCAGAATAAAACTCATAGATTGTATTAAATTAAAAGTACACAACGTGTCCCTTTTCAAGAGGGCAAGTATATCTCACTAGATTGTTATAAGATTATTATTCTTGCGTTAGTTTCTATCTATTCGTATACATATATGTATTTTGCAAGTTTAGTTTCGCAAGAGATCATATGCAGAAATAAAAAACCATTATATAGTAAAATCAATTTATCTCTATTAATAACAGCACAGAACATTTCAATTACATTACAGCAATGTTACAATCTTGCAAGTAGCAGCGCAATATTGTAGAGACATTACAGGAATGTCACTGTAATATATATGTATAAATATATATATTGAGAAATTAATTAAAAAAGATCGACCAATTCGCGCGAGTATAAACGCGCAGCGAGAAAAGGCAATCCAAAAGTAGGCGCGCGACAAAGTTTTGGGGGGACTGCTCTACAAATGACAACAGTTACGTACGAGCGATACATAACGATAGATTCTCGCGTCTTAGCAACCACATATCAATGCCGCCCATATCAGGCCATCTTTTCTCACCGCGCGGTAATACTCGCGCGAATTGGCCGATCTTTTTAATTTCTCATTAATTATTGCGAAGATTGCAAAACGGTAGAGGACTTTTCTACTCGGTTTAATCCGCTCTACTTGCACATTACCAGCGATTATTATCAGACACCCTATATACGTATTGTATATACAGGGTGTCTCATAATAACCATATCACCTCTCGTGTGCAAGTGAAACCGAGAAGAAAAGTTCTTTATCATTTTGCGATTTTTGTAATTATTATTGAGAAATTAATTAAAAAAGATGGACCGAGCGTGAGTATAAGCGCGCAATAAAAAGGGACAACCCATTGAAGTGTGGTTGCTAGGACGCGAGAATCCATGTACCGCTCGCACGTAACCGTTGTTATTTGTAAAGCGCTCCTCCCAAAATTTCGTCGCGCGCTTAGCGACCGCAAACTTGAGACACCCTGTATATACAGGGGTAGAGATTGTGCCAACGTTCGTGAGCGGATAGAGCACAGTAAACTGAACAGAAAAGTCCTTTACCATTTTGCGATTTTCGTAATAATTATTGAGAAATAAATTTAAAAATTTCTCAATTATTACGAAAATTGCAAAATGGTAAAGGACTTTTCTATTCAGTTTACTGTGCTCTACCCGCTCATGAGCATTAGCACAATCTTTACCAGACACCCTGTATTGTATATATACAGGGTGTGCCATTTATCTTGACCACCTAAAATATTTTTTACGCATGACACGTTAGGAAAAAAAGTCAAAGACAGAATTACTTGATTGGAAGAGAGGTTGACGTGGATACTAAGCTAATTCGTTTCAAGGTCATATTCTTCAAAATGTCAAGGTCATTGGTATTTTTTTTAATGGGATCATATATTTTAATTGCCATTTTAAAGTAGCTTATGAGAATACGAATGCAACGACCTATGATGTTATGACCTTCAAATAACCTTGAAGGGCTAAAACTCGTGTCAAAGTTGAAGGTACAGAAGATGGACTAAATGACATGTTTCGAACAATCAAACGAGTCATTAAATTTTTTTCAACATTTTTATTCAATTTTAATTTAAGCAAGTGTTCGAAATGTTGACTGTTTACTTCGATATATTTTCTAAGTCGCAAAACGAATGACTCCCTACTGCGCATAATCATTTCCGGAGCAATAATAAATCCTTTCTTCCAATCAAGTAATTCTGTCTTTGACTTTTTTTCCTAACGTGTCACGCGTAAAAGATATTTTAGGTGGTCAAGATAAATGGGACATCCTGTATATATATATATATATATTATTTTCCAATAAAAGATCTTAAAAATGATATTTTTCCGTAAGCTTACATGAAGTGTTTTTTCCGTTGCTTGATTTAATGCTTGAATCGTAGAATTCTCTTCCATTCCTTTGGTATATTTAGCATGAACTTTCTTATTTTCATTGATTTCAGATTCTTGTTTCTTAATTGTGTCTGCATCCACTGTCTTATCTTCCTTCGTACCTTTCTTCGACTTTGATCGTTTAACACTATCTTTGTCATAGTCGTGGAAAATATTACTGATTGAAGGCACTTTTATTGAATATGTATGGGTGTTGCTTTTTACCGTTTTTCTCTGCTTCTCTTTTTCGTTTTTCAGTTTTTCCTCGCGTCTTCTATCGCTTATTTTATCCTTTAAACTATCAAGCGAATCCACATCTTTATTACCAATTAACGTAGAGAGTTTTTTGGAGATGTGAGTATGCTTCGAGTCTAAAGTGCTTTCTAATCCTATATCTTTGGGATCCGTTTGTTTTTTTAACTCTCCATTCTTTAATTCCTCATTCTTTTTTTGTTTTAATCTTTTATCTTTTTTATATATATATACATATATACATTTGAAAAAATCCGATCTCTCCATGATATAACTTGGGTAACGCTAACGCCGGCGGTATTTTTTCAAATAGGTATTTCTTTCATTTTTGTGAGTAGTTTATTTCAATGTAGCAATGCAATATTGCATATATACATTGCGAAATGTTGTTGCAACATTAAAATGTCCGCCCTTAGTAACATTGCAATGTAAAATTGTGGTAAGATTACAATGCAATGCATTAATAATAATGCGAGATATAGCAGATATCTATTTCTTAAGCTTTAACATTTTTTTTTGTTCTTAAATTTTGTTCATTTTAACCGACGTTACAGTTGGCTAAATTTTGCCTATATTTAAAAAAAAATTAGGTATTCCTCTAATTTTTGTGAGTAATTTATTTATGTAATGTTTCTGCAATCTTTCTGTGCTGTATAAAAAAGTAAAATTGAATTTATCCTCTGAAGAAATTATGTTGTGCTTCAGAAAAGTTTTTACAATAGAGCGTTTCGAGTTTCATAGTATAGTCAAAAACAGTGATTATAGATAGCTACATATCTTTAAGAACTATTTCAAATGTTGACTGCAAACATAGAACTAAATCCAGTAGAAAAAATAAATACATTAAGATACATTGCCGCGCTAACTTAAACTTCATATAGGTAGATAAATATTTGCATATGAGAATAAAAAATTTATATATTATACAGGGTGTCTCACAACCTCCGTACAATACTTTATTAGCGTGTTCTAGAGGTAAAATAGAGACAAAAATTCTAATACAAAATTTTTGAGATATATATATGTATGTTTTATAAAATATCTTCTTAACACATTTATTTATTTATATCTAGAAAAATCGTACGCGTGGGCGGAAGAAAGGCGTCGCCCCTCTCCCTGCACCCCCTCCCCGAGAAAAACTAACCTAACTCAACCCATCTCCCACCCACGTTATATAATCCAAACCAATTTTTCGTTTCGAATCTAATCCAATCCATCTCCCACCCATACAACAATTGTGGGGTGGACCTCGCTTCGCGTTGTAAAGTATATGCGTGGACGCAGTGGGTTTCGCCCCCCCTACGGGAGGGCTCCACTTCCGAAAGATATAACCTAACCCAAACCTATTTCTGATTTAGAACTAAAATTTGATTTGGGTTACGTTATATAACCCAAACCAAATTTTCGTTTCGAATTAAAATTTTAACTTTAAATATCTCAAAAATTATAAGAGACCGCCGATTAAGTTATAAGGAAAAGTTACTCAGGATCCTGATCTTGAAAACATATGTCAAGGTCAACATCGTTGGGTCCGTTTTTATAAAGTTTGGTAAATATGCATATTAGGTGACACCTCACCGATGACTTTGACCTTGACATATGTTGTCAAGGACATAACCCTGAGTAACTTTTCCTTATAATTTAACCGGCGGTCTCTTATAGTTTCTGAGATATTTAAAGTTATGATTTCACAATTTCAATGATTTTTCTATTATAAAATAAAGAAAAATAAAGATTGTTTACATTGTATTTACGTAGATCAGACGTGGAAAAAGTGTTTCTTTACATTTCCAGAGACGAAGGTCTTCGTATTTTTATATGAAAAAATACTTTATTATAGTGTTTTGAAAAGCTCTCGAGATAAGCTACAAGAATG